GAATAGCCCCTTTGTGGACATCGTCAAAGATCACATTCCAGAACGACTTGCTTAGTAATTTCTTAGTAGCATAGCAGTTTTCTCAAGCTTAATAATTTCTTCAAACTTCGCCATTTTTCATTTTTCTTGAAGCAATTTCTACATGCTTCTCCATTCTGGTCCATTAAGTCGTATGCATTCCTATTCAGCACTACAAATGGACCACATCAGCATGACAGTTATAGTGTTGATAAAATAAACAAATTAAATTAAATTAAATTGTACTTTTTTAATTGTTTCACGTTTGCTTCAATTTGTGCTTCGTTATTGACGCAGGTGCTACTAATCTAAAGACGAAGATGCACGTCCGCTTGTGAAAATCAGCCCTTTTAGAGTTTAGTAATTATTGGTTTATATCAGCCATCAGCCTACTTCTGAACAACTCTTAGAGCTCTCGTCTGTTCCTTTGCTGAGTTAGTTGCTGTTATCGTGTTCAAATTGGCTTTGAATGCTTCTGTGTTTCAAAGAGAATAAAAGTTAGTTTTGGCTGTGATTATTTTAAATCAGTGATTGTTAATCTTACTTGCATTTGCATGGCTGAATTGTTTCAAAATAGGAAGCAGCTTGGCCCATTTTGTTTGGCCAAGCGCTGTCGTTTTCTGACTTGCATAGGCGGCATTTGCTAGAGTAGAGTTTGGAATAAAAATATGCTGAAGACTGCTCCTCGCCTGTTATCCTAAGTGTCAACGCTCCGTCCGCAGCCATTGCCTAGAAAACGTATTTTTACGCGGTGAATTACCAGTGCGCATCTGCCATGTGTAGCAGCAATCAGGTCACGCTTCGTTCGAACGTACAGTAGAATTTGTGTTTTTTCAAAATTTTCCAACACTTCAGCGTTTACCTTTGACCTACCCAGGGATTGTCACAACAGCCATGCAAATTGTGTCGTTTGGCAAATCCGCTCGCCAACATTAGCTATCTCAAACGATTTGGTCTTGAGCTGTTATATACTAGCTAGTTTTGAGCTGTTGTGTAATAGCGATTGCCGTTCCTCTGATAGAATATTATCATGGAATAATAAGGTAATTTTGCTTCTAAATGTTGACAAGTGTTTTCCAGTGCAAGTGTTTTTAGGAACTGACAAGGACAAGCCCTTCCCATCCCTTTGCATTTGCGGCACTGCTGAATATTCGATTGGGGCACAGAGATCTCGAAGCATTGCATAATCCTTTTGCCCGATTCCTGGCGGCTTTTGTGAAATTCGTTGTGACAAAACTAAGTTGGGAACGAATGCAATTGTCACAGCGTCTAAAGCAGGAAAAACTAAAATGCTATCAGTTTTGAAAGCAGCTATAGAGTTAAGTTGGAAAGAAGCACTTCATATTTCAAGACCAACAAACAAAAACTATTTGCCTTTAGCAAGATTTAGAAAAAATATTAGATTTTTGATTTGGTGTAATGATAGGAGGGAATGTTTCTA